TTTCCGGTGAATGTGCACGACGGATTCCGACCCCCGCCGGCTTTGCCCACATGAGGCCCCGGCGGTCGAGCGGGGACAGTGTGTGCCCCACCGGCAAGCCCGTGTGCCAGGTCGCCCCGTGTCCCTCCCCCCCCGAGAAGCAAGGCGAGAGGAGGCAGAGGGCCACACGCCTGACCCCGCCAACACGAGCCCGCCACCGGGCTGGAAGACCCTCTCCCAGGGGGCACGCCCCTGCGATCGCCCGACCTGCCTGGCCATGATGCCATCGGCTCGCCGAGGGCGCCCATAACCCCATAACCGGAGCCCGAGCTGGACCACCGGGCGCCGCCGGCATAGCCGGGCCACGCAGCGGGAAGAGGGCCCCGGCGGCCGCACTCGCGCGGGCCTGCCCCGCAGAGGACCATGCCAGCGCGCCCGGAGGGGAAACCCCCCGCCGGCCCGATGGAGGCGGCCTCGCACCCGGGGCCGTTGGTGGCCGGGGCGCACCGTCGCAGCCAGACGGGACCCGCCGCCAGGGACCGCCCTTGCGTGTGGCGCCGCTGCTGCCTCGCGACACTTCCCTCACCGGAGTGTACGCCCAAAGCACAGGGCGACCGGCGGCATGTCCCATTCTTCGTCCTGGCCCGCAAGCCGCCGCACTCGCGCCAGGGCGCTCCTGCCATTCCGGTAAAGAGGCAGGAAGCCGGGAAGCCCAGCAGCCGAGGTGGATCTCGGCGCCCGCGGCATTGTGCTCACACACGTGTGCCCCTTGCCCAAGGGTCAGGGGGGGGAAGCGCGCCCACCGGCCTGGGCTCTGGTACTCACGCACAGGCTGTTGAGACATTTGATCATCGCACGCACTGCACACGCCGCACATGCCGGAGGCCGTGCGCGTCACACTCATGCACATATGCATGCATGCACACACAGGGACAAACCGACACATGCATACGCCGATGCCATTCCGCGGCAAGACACAGAGCTCGGGGTGTTCGCCCCGATCGCCCCACGGGGGGAGGCCCACGCTCTAAAGGCCGATGAGAGATGCTTGCCCTGGGAGGGACTCGGAAATGACAAAATCCGCGCGCGCGCGCGCGCGCCGGTCGGCGAGGCCGAGCCACCTGGACAAGGCCAAGCGACAGGCATGCCGATCGAGCAATCAGCACCGGCGTCCCCATGCGCCCCCGGAGTGCCTCCCGGGCGCATTGGCCCAGGGCGCGCCCTGCCTCGGCCATTGCCTCGGGTGTGGGGTGCACGATCCCGGGAGGCATGCAGCGCCTTCACCGGCGCGCGAACGGGCCCACCGACGATCGACCCTGGAGCCCCCGGCCGGTAGATTGCCCGGCAGCACCGTGCCACCCTCTGCCCGGCCCTTTCGGAGCGACAAAAGGGACCCTTAGCGCGTGCAGGCGAGGAGCAACGCCCGGATGGCCACAGCCGCCAGCGGCAGTGCTCCCACACCCAAAGGGCACCCGACTGCCGGGCGGTGTGCGAGCCTGGCAGCTGGCCACCCTAGCGGCGCATGCTACGCAGGGGCGCCCGCACGAGGTCGCTTCGGGCGCGCGCCCTGGCCGATGGCACCAGCGCGCGGGGCCGTTCGCTCCGTGCGGCGCTCCCAAACGGACCACGCAAGCCGGCGGCCCAGCGTGCGCATCGTGATGGCGTCCCCCCCCCCCGTTCCGGACCGAGCCAGGACAGACCCCGAGACCGGCATGTGTGCATGCATACTTCGACACCTGCATGAACACATGCATGCATGCCGATGCGCCGACACCGAGGCCGGTCCAGCCGACCATGCATGCGGGCACAGCGACCAGCATGCCCACACGAAGTGGGCCCGGGCGCAGCTTCCGCCGCAAGGGTCCGCCGGCCTGCCGAGGGACGTGCCCGGGCAGCAGACGCGCCCGGATCCCATGGACGGCGGCATGTCGGCTGGTTTGGTAAGGGCGCATGCGTGCGCGTCCGGCCGGCCTGCTTACCGTCGCCATGGCGGCAGCGCGATCGCCCCGGCCCTCGGTTCCCGGCACAGAGTCGGCGGGGAGCGAGCCGGAGGGCAGCGCCGGTGTCCCCGCCTGGCAAGGAGAACCAATGCCCGCACAGGTGCAAGAGGCGTGCGAAGGGCATGCCAGCGCCTCCAAAGCGCACGCGCTCCTGCCGCCCCCCCCCCTCCCATAGACCCATGCGCGGGGGCAGGCGATAAGGAAAGTCACACACCGTGCATCCAGGGCGAAAGAGAAAACAGGCGCATGGGATCCCACGCGGGGGCACGCACCCCAGGCGCGGAGGGCCCACAGAGGGAGGGCATGGAGGCAGGCGCCGAGCGGGATCTTGCCAGGGGGGAGAAGAGCGCAGCCCTTGTGGTGCAAGAAAGGCGAGGCGAGGGCGGCTGCTTCAAGCAGGGGGGACATGACTGTCACCGGCTGGCGGAGCTGCGCGCAGCCCGGAACATGATGCTAGCCGAGCCAGGCAACGCCCCAGGGTGATGGCTTGCGCGGCACGGCTCGGCGGTTCGAGCTGGCTGCCCTGGCGAGGGTCGTGTGTTCGCGGGGACGACTCGCCGCGCCATGGCCGGGCACGGCTCACGTCGGGTGGGGCGCCAGCTGCAGCACCGGCGGCCGAGCCTCCGGCACGTACCCGCCTCCGGAGGCCGGGCCCGAGCCCCGCGGGTGCGTGCCAGGAGGGGGATGTCGGGACGAGGGGCAGCAAGACGCCCCTGGGAGAGGGGGAGTGTGGCCCCCCTCGGCCACTTGGCGATGCATGCGTCCACCCGGCCGGTGCGCTTGGGTCCCGAGGACACCCCGGCGAGGGATCTGCCCGCGCGCGAGATCTGCCCCGCCACCGGGTGGAGCACTGCCTGACCCAGGCGCAGGAAGGCCGCCGGCCAGGCGGTCGACAAGCCCAGCCTCCGCCGACCGAAGAGCCCGTACACCGGCCAAAAGCCCCGCAGCCCGTCGAGCACATTCCGCGCCGCACCGGGCGCCAGCATTTGCACAGGCACGGGCCGATCGCCATGGCCGGCTCTCCCACGCGCTGGGCCACCAGCATCTGGGCACTCCACGCAGGGGCCAAGGGCAGGAGCCAAGGGCAGGAGCCAAGGGCAGGAGTCAAGGGCAGGAGCCAGGCCGCCGACAGGCGAGGCCTGGCACCACAATGGCCCGCGGCCACACACGCGGATGAGCCGGCCCGGCTTTCCGGCCTCCGGCCGGCCCGGACCAGGTAGCCCATGCTCACTGACTGCGCCGCCCCCGGGCCACGGCGGCCGACGTGCTGCCGGAACCAAACAACCACCATGCCCGGCTCCGGGCCATGCCGGAAACGCGGTGCCGGCGTCGGCGGAAAGGCCCCCGCAGCCGGGCGACCCTGCCCGAAGCCAGTTCGTCCCCCCCCCGCCGCTCCCCGCCGCCGCGCTCGTCCCTCCCGCTGCCGGCCCATGGGCTTCGGGCGCCAATCCGGCCCGCCGCGCTCGACCGGCGTGCCTGGCACCATGACGCACCCATAGCATTCGTGAGAATCCGCAGGGTCCATGGCATCCGGCAAGAGGGCATGGCCGGGTCCATGTGCTACGCCGATGGCGAGCGAGCGAGAGAAAAAAGGGCGGGGGAGAGGCACCGCCCTGCGTTCCGGCAGCACCATGGCAAGTGGCTTGCCCGGCCGGCACACCGAGATCCCTCCCCAGCCGGCAGCCGCACCGGCCGCGCCAGCACCCGGCCAGTGCCACCAAAGGCCCGGGCATCGGCTGCCCAGCCTCCAGCCGTACTTCGCCAGTGGCACCTGCGCCGAAAGCCGGGCGATGGCTTGGCGCTCGGCCCGCCTGCGGATCTCCCGCTGTGGAGTCCGACGCCGGAACAGCCGGGGGCCATCCACCGTGCCGAGCCCCTAGCCAAGGGCACCCGAGCTTCGCTCCATGGGGCGGTCGTGGGGGTAACCGACGCGCAGCGAGCTCGCGCCCAAAACCACCACCCCGCTGTGATGGGCCATCATGACCGGCCCGTGGCGGGAGCCCACCCCCGGCGGTACATGGCGCCGTACGTGCGTGCGTATGTGTGGACGGGGGGGGGCCGCCAATGAGGGGCCCTGCTCCCCAGCCGGGGAGACCACACGGGAGAGGGCGCGACTCCCGGCCGGCGAGTGGCTCACGCTCCGACAGCGGCCCGGCCGCCCGGTGAGTGACACACTCGCAGCCGCACGCAGTCCCCGCGTCCCGGGTGCCGGTCGGCCCCGCGTGGGAGTGCCGCCCCAGGGGCCGTGCCAGCGGCCCAGACAAGGGCGAGTGTGTACAAGAGAGGGGGGAGACGGATTGCGGGCGGGCGGGCGAAGCGGAGGGAGGGAGGTGCAATGCGAGTGACGCTCGGCGCTGGCCCGGCCTGCCGGGGGCGCGGCCGCCCTCCGGGCCCCCTCTTGACGCCGTCACAGACCCCGGCGGGGACGGGGCCACATCTGGCCGTGGCCCGCCAAGCGCGAAGTGCCAATGCATCTGCCCGTTGGTACCTACCCATGCGCCCCTCGCGTTATATGGCGCGCATTTTCAATTCCCCGATTATGGCCCGGGAGGGATAGCATGCCGCGTGGCGTGAATCGCGCGTGGCGTCAATTGCCTGGATGCGGTTGCGCCGATCTAGACACGGCCGGGCGGGCCTCAAACGCAAATACCACACTCCGGGGAAAAGATCCCGCGGAGGGCCGGCGCGGAGAGGGGCGGGGGAGCCCTCCGGCGGGGAGGCGCCGCGGGCCCAGTCAGCCGAAATGCGGTGGTTCATATGTGCCAGGCCTGCGGGGGAAGGTATGTAAGCCTGTTTAGCTCAGTTGGTAGAGCATGGGACTCTTAATCCCAGGGTCGTGGGTTCGAGCCCCACAGTGGGCTTCTCTTTTGGCGCGTCTGGCGTGCCGCTTCCGGGGAGATGCGATAGTGTCGTCCTGTGTGGAGGCCACAAAAAAGACCCCCGGGGCTCTCCAAGGGACGGGCGGGGGGGGGGGGGGGAGAGACAGCGCCGCGCTCCGTGCAGAGCCCCGGCGTATGTCTGCGCCCACACACACACACGCACACACGCACGGCCAGTCTTGCGCGGCACCCCTGTGCCGAGTGCTTGTCTTTTTGTGCGTCTCTCCCCGCGGCCCCTGCAGGCGGCCTCGGTGGCCCTCCTTTGTCTGCGCCGCGCGCCTCGGGAGGGGAGCCCGGGTCCCGGGGCTGGCCTCCTCCCGGCGGCGGCCCGTTGCCGGTGGGCCTGCGCCCATGCCCCACACGCGAGGCACGGGAGGGCGACCGCGTCGCGCGGCTCGGGGGCGCCCGTCACGCGCCGGCAGGCATCCCGGCCCTCGCCGCGGAGGCGGCCCGGCACCGGCGGCAGGGGCCCGGAGCGCGCGACCCCGGCAGCCGCACCGGCGGGCCCCTCCCGGCGTCAGGGTCTTTTCCCGGCTTCCCCGTGCGCGGGGCGTGCCCCGACGACGAATCGCCCCCCTGGGGTCCAGGATACTTTGGATGACATGCCCGGCGCCGAGGCACACACCATGCCGCCGGCCCCGGCCACTCACTCAACAAGCCCCATGCGCCAGGGGGTTTGCCTGCGCCCGGCGGAAGGCCAACACAAAGGGCGCCACCCTGCGCGCTCCCTCCTCCGGGCGGGGACAGACTCTCACATGCATACACACACACGCACACACGCGCGCGCGCACACACACACGAGGGAATCCCCCAGGCCGCATCTATGCAGGGAATCTAAATCTATTGGCACGAGCCACGCTCGGGCACGGGAGGGGGGGTGAGGAAAAGGTAATGTACAGGAGAGGGAGAGAGAGAGAGAGAGGGGGAGAGGGAGGAAGGACCAGCCATGCAGCCGCGGAGAAACAGCCCCGCGGCGCGCGCTGCCGTCAGTGCCCGGCCGCCACGGCAGAGGACACCGGAATGAAGCAGGCCGGCTCGGAGGCCGGCTGCTGGCGGGAGGCACCCCCGGGGCCCGGGCCGCCCCCGGCGCTCGGCGCCGCGGCGACCAGCGACTCGGCCGCGGCCACGGCCGCCGCAACAGCGGCCGTGGTCGTGGCAAAGGGAGACCCCCCCGCCGCGGCGGGGGCCGCCGCCGCCGCCGCGGCCGCAGCCACCACCACCACCGGGGGCGACCCCACCGCCGCCAAGGGGGGCGGCTGGTGGTCGGCCCCCTCGCCGGGACCACTGGCCGCCGCGGACGCGGCCGGAGCCAGCGGCGACGGGCCGTCATCCCCGGGGCCCGGGCCGCCGAGGGCCAGCAAGCGGGCCAGCGGCCGGAGCCCGGGCACCGCGCTGGCCCCCGGGGCGAAGATGAGCGCCGGAGCGGGCCGCCGCGCCGCGCCCCCGGTCGCCAGGGCCGCCGCGGCCGAGGCATGGTGCCGCGCATGCCGGGCCACCGTGGCACCGGCCGACCGCTGGGCGGCCCCTTGCCCGAGGCAGATCTCCACCGCGGTGGCATGGTCCCCGAGGGCCCCGGCCACCGCGGCCAGGAGGATGTCATGCAGCAGGCCGACGCTCTGCTCGACATTGGTGTTACTGATACAGGGGAGGCCCCGCCGGGCGGCCGTCAGGAGCAGGTGCTGCTGAATCAGGCGGATGGCCTCGATGTTGGCCACATACTTGTTGATGCCCGGGTCGACGGACATGTGCTTGGCCCGGACGGCAAACCGGGCGGCATGCTGCTCCTGTGTGTCGCGCACGTCCGCCGGGCGAGGGCGAGGGCGAGGGCGAGGGCGAGGGCGAGGGCGAGGGCGAGGGCGAGGGCGAGGGCGAGGACAAGGACAAGGGCGAGGGCGAGGGTGAGGGTGAGGGTGAGGGTGAGGACAAAGACAAAGACAAAGACAAAGACAAGGACAAGGACAAAGACAAGGACGAGGACAAGGACGAGGACAAGGACAAGGACAAAGACAAGGACGAGGACAAGGACAAGGACGAGGACAAGGACAAAAACAAAGACAAGGACAAGGACAAGGACAAGGACGAGGGCGAGGACAAGGCAGGGAGCCGGTGGACAATCGGCAAAGGGGGGGCACCGTCAGCGACGAGCAACGGGGGGCGGGCACGCGCGCGCGAGGGCGCACGGCCAAGCGACAAAAGCAAAGTGGAGGTCCCCCCCCCCCCCCCTGCCGCCTCCGAAACACACGCACCTGCCCGGGAACAAAGATGATGGTCGGCACCACGACAAGGTCCGCCGGGGCCGAGGCCATCAGGCGCATGGCCACATCCACGCTGGCATGGACCCCCTCAATGACAAGGCTCTCCCCGCGGCCGGCATGGCGGCGGAGCAGACGCTCCAGGTACGGCGCCAGGTGGTCCGACTGGGCCTGGTGCCCGACCAGCACCCGGCAACTTTCATGGCTCAAATGCCGGCGATAGGGGGGCGGCTGCTGCTGGAGGTCCTTCTGCAGGGCCGCCGGCCGGGGATCGTCCTCGGCCAGGAAGCGCCCGGCGCGATAGCTCGAGGCCATGAGAACCGCCGCCGGTGGGCACCCGGGGGAGATGGACGAGGCGGAGGCGGAGCCCGACCCCGGCGCCGAGGGGTGGGGCCCCATCGAGGTGAGAGGGGGGGCCGCATCGGCGGCGGCGGCGGCGGCGGCGGCGGCGGCGGCGGCGGCGGCCGATGGGGCGGCCGATGGGGCGGCGACAGCGCCACCGACACCGGGGCCGGCCATGCCGCCCCGGGGACCGCCCGCCCCGGCGGCCGGGGGGTGTTCCTCGGCGTCGGCCAGGTGCGACCGCACCAGCTGCCGGAGGCTGTCGGTCGAGAGGACCGTGGCCACGCCGCTGCCGCCGCCGCCCGGGCCCCCGAGGCGGTGCGCCAGCAGGCTGGACAGGGTGGACTTGCCGCAGCCGCTGGTCCCGCCAAGCAGCACGCAGAAGGCAATGTCCCGGTCGAAGAGCTTCCGCGCCACGGCGAAGTGCGCCAAGCGCCGGGGGTTGGTCTTGGTGGCGGTGGTGGTCGGAGAAGCCAACAGCACACACGCGTGCGGATCAAGTGGCGGAGGGGGAGGGGGGGGGCGTTAGGGCATGGTCGAGTGGGCGGGCGCCGAGGCGCACCGACACACCGCGGGCGCGCGGGGCAGGGCGCCGGCGGGAGGGGGGAGCACACGCACAAAGCCGGCCCGGAGGAGGGCCTCATCGAGCAGGCTGCCCAGGGCCTCGGCCGACAGGGAGACGACGCTCTGCTCGTGGGTCGAGGTGTGGGCCGCGCCGGGCAGATGCCGGAAGACAAAGTCCCCGGCGTCGGCGGCCACATCCGCCGGGAACCCCATCAGCTGCAAGATGGATGCCAGGTTCCGCGGCGAGTAGCACCTCAGGCGCTGTGCATGAACGGCAGGGGGGGGGGGGGGGGACAAGGGGGCGCGGGCGCGAAGATGGAGGTCAGGAGGGGCGGCGAGCGGACGGCACGCGGACGGCACGCGGACGGCACGCGGACGGCACGCGGACGGCGAGCAGACGGCGAGCAGACGGCACACGCCGGGCAACATACACCTGAGGGCTCCCACTGCACGCATATACTTTTCATGTCGACGCGGTGAGCGAGGACCAAGCGCCGATGCGGGGGAGGGGAGAAATGGGCGGAACAAAGCGCAGGGGGAACCGGCCGGGAGCGCGTCCGCAGGGGGGGAGGACGGGACGCGATCTGTGCGGGGGTGCCCGGGCGCGGAGACGAAGGGGGCGGAGGGGGAGGGTGGATTGGGCGGCACACGTGCCGGCGCGCGCGCGCCAACACACAGGCACACGCGCTCGCACGCGGGCAGACGACGCACGCGCACACGCACACACGCGGGCACGGCACTCGCCTTCTCACGACACACGCTCACACGCACGGATACACACACACACACACGCTCACACTCACACACGTGCACACACACACAGAGCCACACACGCGCGTGAGAGGGGGGGGGGG